ATGCGATTTACATTGTTCCGCGGTTTAATTTGATCACGAGTAAGCTGTCTGTTCTGGTTCTGGAAATTGTTCGAGAAGAATTAGACGTTCGTTATTAATTGTTACCAATTATTCTCTTCGTTATTGATGCTTATCAATTGCAAACTGTTCATTTATATGAGACTCTAAAACTAGAAATACTCAAATTTCGATTAATAATTTTGCAAACAGAAAATATCGAAGTGTAAGGAATCTATATTCTGTCAATAGTAAGCTCAGCCAATTCATTTATTTATTTATACGAACACTAGCCTCGTTTATGCAATATTCAATATAGTTTAACTTATTACAACATTTTATGATTCTAGTTATTGCTCATTATATTTATTGTGTTTTGCGTAAAACTCTCGTAGACGTTTATTATTAATTGTTATCAATTATTCTTTTTGTTATTGATGCTTATCAAATGCAAACTGTTCATTTATATAGGAAATAGAAATATTCAAATTTGGATTAATAATTTTGCACATAGAAAATATAGAAATGGAAGAGATCTATTCTCTGTCATTATTAAACACAGTCAGTTTATTTATTTATACGAACACTGATCCATTTATATAATATTCAATATAGTGTAACTTATATAATAACATTCTATGATTCTAGTTATTGCTCATTATATTTGTTTTCCAATAAAAGCTTTTGTCGCGCAGCGAAATCATTTTTAAGAACAGGATTTTATAACACCGAACATTTGCGTCCAACGCAGGTAGCTGGAAAATGTCGCCGTAAGCAGACCATAGAAGTAAGGCAATTAAGCATTTTCGCGACTAAAACCGTCCCCATAAACGTAGACTCCTCGACAGCTGCACCTCACGTGCAAACACCCCCAATAAACCATACCTGCCTCAACGACAAACATTTTCCCAAAAATATTTAAACATTTAAGACACGCCTCAAGAACATTCCTGATACACCCTCCTCCCAAGCACCACCAATAAGAAGCCATCCATCTCGCCCATTCCACTAATGAAACCAACCAACCACAACTTCACCGAGTCGAAAAGCGCTAAAAGATACCACTGTTAGACAGAAATCAATCAACGCTCAGTCAGAATACACACCAAGAGTCTCGTCATCTACTTGTTTTCAAATAAAGACTTAACGAACAAACGACGTCTTTGCTTCTGTAAACCACCCTAATTACTCACACAATTTTAAGTAGGCGTGTGAGGTACGCGTACAAAAAGGCAAACGCGCAAATAGTTACGCGTACAAACAGCTTTTTTCAATTATTTTTTAATAATATAGATTGCTTCTACTTTTATGATTTCTGTATCGAAAAACAAGCGTATAAATTTTCCATTTACCACAATTAGACGAAAGCATTTCTGTTGTTTGCTTCGACCAACCAAAACAGAGCGCGTACCGAATAATAATTTTCCAAACGCAACGCTAGAAAACAGTTTCGATAAAAGCTCTTTCGATCAAATATAATATGTATGAATACAGTGTCGAGGAAACGTTTGTTGGTGATTTGTGCGTGTTGATAAATAAATGGTGGCAGTAAAATGGTGTCGATGAAAATATTGTCGACGAAATGTTCGTCGGTGACTTTATAGCTGACCGTTCAATACGATTCCCATGTTGTAAAAACAAATTTTTTAACTCTGACTTACATTTAAAAATACTACTATTTAATTCATTTGAGTATTGTTGCTAATTAAAGTAAACCCAAGGAAGGTGCAATTACTTTCTTAATCCTCTTTTTGCGTTTATTTTGTTTCGAGTAACGAATATAAGAAATTGTTGATTATTAATTTTACTCTTCGCTCAATCTTATCACAAGTAAATTGTAGAAATTTAATTTAAAATTAAAATTTAATTTAAACGAATAGTTTCTAGTCATATTTAGTATAACGAAATGAGGAATGATATGTATGTATCTGCATCGTTCAAAAATTGTATATTATAATTTCTTTCATTAGGTTGAAGTTGACTTATACTGGAGTAAAGAAACGTTCGTTTAAATTAGTGTAGCAGAGGTTATAGAAATGGACAATAAACGGCACATATATTTTAGGTTACGTTTAATACATATGGCACGTATCGTTGCATACATCGTACTGGTACTGCACAGTGTTATACATACTATGCTAAAATAAAAGACGGCGCGCACGCCTGCCAACGAGGTAAAAGGAAATACCTCCAACATGCGCATGTTTGCCAACATGAGAATGAGAATCATTTCCAAGAATTAGATTGCAGCTCTTAATTTAATTTCTCAAAGAGTCCAATTTCTTTACAGCCACAAGCTGACATATGGAATTATTGATTAGTATTTATAAAATGCACAAACACACAGACAGGTAATTAAATAATATTTACTTGTCTTAAGAACATGTAAGTTGAAAATATTCTATATACAAGTTCATTGACTTCAAACGGATAAAAACAATTATTAGATTAAAACATTATTTAGTTGACGTAATTGTTAGGTAACAAACAACGTGAAATTATCGATGTTATATAACATCTTCAAATATTTTATGAATTATAAATCTAGACATATGAAGAGAAAAATATATAAATGGCAAAGAATTGAAATTATTTTTTAATTCAGGCTTGCGTTAAGCCTGGGTTAGATCGAAGGGTGAAAATACCGAAGCAGAGAGCAGTAGAGTCGACTTTTAATACATCTGGACGACTTTTAACACCGAGTATTATCGTGCATAACATCGAGGGAATTCTCGTTGGCCATATTGTCCTGATTTTAATATCGAGAACGCAAGTTTTTTTGCTGTTTGTATTCCGTGTAGACCAAGTGACGAAGTATGAGAAAAATATAAATTACACTGACAGTTTTCGATCTGATATAACGAAGAACGTGTTTCTTTGTCTACCTTTCACATTTTCCAAGCAAGAGTGAAATCAAAGGAGTAACGAGGTTCGTAAAAGACACGGTATCAGAAGATATAACCTCGTGTCATTCCGTGCCAGGCATCATCCTTACATTTGCCACGATTAGGTATATTTCAAGGGAAGATCCTCGATCTGCGGATTTGCTCGCGGAAATTGCATCGTATTGGAACAGAAAAGAGTTGAAATTCGCTGTTCGACGAATTTGTATCTTCCGGCGTGTTTCATACACGACGTATTGTATTACTACTCAAATATAATGAGAATGCACACAATAGAGCAACAGTTATTATGATAGCACGATCATTATTTTAATATTACATTGACGATACGAGATATATGTTGGAAGATTTACTAAATGATAAATAGACATATTTACAAAATTATTTAAGTATTCAGTGGCCAGGAATGACGATGACTTTATAATAGAAAAGAAATATTGTAAAAACAACATAAAATGGATGAAGACAATGTCGTGATATATACAGGGTATTCGGCCACCCCTGGGAAACATTTTTATGGGAGATTCTAGAGGCCAAATTAAGACAAAAATCAAGAATAACAATTTGTTGATGTTAAAAAGTTATTAATATTTAAATTCACAAATTTCAAATTGTACTGGAAAAATTATTTTCGGTTGCAGGGGTCAATTACAATCATTTTTCGTGAATACACATACCTTCGAAATCCTACCCACTTTCGAGAAAAAAATTCCTTACCGAGAATCTAACCTGCGGCCTGAAATGGTTTCCCGACATTTCATGCGAATCTTTAAAACGTCATAACTTGTGAACGGACTGGACGATTTTAATGTTTCAAACGGCAAACAACACGTATTTTGGTGAAGACTATGTGGAAATTCCAAAAATATTCGAATTCCTTGACTCCGCAAAATGAGAAAAACCCCTTAAAAATGGTTAAATTTTCAAACAGTCATAACTCCAACAATAGTGAATATATTTCATTGAAATTTTGGGAGGAACTAGAGTTCATGGATGCCTACAAAAAAGTATTAAACAACTTTTCTGTAGGGTGTCCCACAAAATTACTAAAAATCAAAAACGAAGTTTAAAGAAAAATCGATAAAAGGTTGGTGTCTAAATTTTTTGGCGAAAAAAGAAATTTCAAATCGTTCCAAAAAAATTATTTTTAGCTAGATAGATCGATTACAATCATTTTGGTGAACAGGCACACCCCTGAAATCCTGTGCATTTTCGAGAAAAAAATTGAATACGGGCGGAAATTTAAACGTTAATAACTTTTTAACAAAGCCTACATCAACAAATTGGTATTCTTCATTTTCGTCTTATTTTGTCCTCTAGAATTCCCCATTAAAATTTTTCCCAGGTGTGGCCGAACACCCTGCATATTGAACTCTAGATTTATTATTAAATTGAATTATAATAAACACTAGTAGGTTGAATTCTACTAGCAAGACTAGAAAAATCTATTAGAAATCTTATAATTCGGTGTATTGACATAGTTTCACAATTAAGAATATATTCCATGATTCTTAAGAAATTTGAGAACAGTGGTAGAACAAATAATTTGCGCAATAACAAAACAAATGGAAAATCTATCGTTGAAGAGGAATGGAAATCGAGTTGACAAAGCTTATGTGTCATGTCATTCAACACATTTAGATTTTTCAAGATTAGTTGTTAAAAACAACCAAAAATTCTAAACAAGATTCTTAAATTTTAAGGCTGTGAAAATAAGTTCTCCGACAAATTGTGGCTAGTTTCCAAATGTCTGAAAATAATGTTTCATTTTCGTGGACAATTAGAGGGGTTTGATGTAGCATTTAACGTGAACAATTTGACTTTAAGAAAATTGAAGAGTTTAACACGATTAATTTGTAAATACTAAACAGTATCAATATAAAGGAAATAGTTTTCCCTGATTTGAAGTGGCCTTTTTTGGCGGAAAAGTTTGATCAAAAGGAACAGTAGTTATTTGAAAAAGAATTGATAATTATTGGTTGTCTTTAAAGCTGTCACACGATAATTCCCCCCTTAAATACTGTAAATCTTTCAATTCCAGTTGGTTTTTGATAGAAGATACAGGCTATTGGGCACTGGTTTATCTATCGTGTCACTTACCGAATATAGGATTTCCACGGTGGGTTGCGAGACCGCCAAGCGTGAGCACGTGCGAGTGATCCGCTGTCACGACGAGTAGCGTTTCCGACAGGTCCACTTCCTTCATCACTGCCCTCACCGCTTCCTCCAACGCTAATGTTTCGTCCAGTGCTCGATAAGCATTGTTATAGTGATGTGCATGGTCGATCCTACCACCTGGAGACATATAAACACATCACCTGCATCAAATTGTGCCTGATAACGGAATTAATATTATCGGCATAATGTGCTAGTTCCTGAGACATTCGTAAACCTGATCATTCGAAATATATAAAATTACTAGTGGCCATAACTGTTAATCGTTAGTCGATATAAAATTAGTCAGTTTAAATATTTCTCGAAGAAAAGATTATTAATAGTAATGTTATTGAAATTTATAAATTTTGTGACATTATTAATATTTTAATTATAACGATATTCAGTCTGCTTTGGATCTGCTTCAGAAGTAAAAATAAAAACATATAAGTGTGAAATACTTGAAACGATCTACACAATTGTAAACATAAAAACGTATCTACGAAGCGTGAGAATATTAATAATAATATAATGAAATTAATTATACCGCGAACGTGGTTCAATTGGACCAAACTCAAAAGTTGTTTAACATTTCTAAAACTTCTATACGAAATTAAATTATACTCGAATAATATTCGTACGCGTTAATAATTCTTACGCAAATCTAGAAAATGAATAAACGGCAGAAGAATGGTTTTTGTTGGAATACTCCAAACATCGCCGCAGATAAATAGCTAACACGACGCCGTATACGTGCGCATCGGCCGTTTTAATCTGAAGAGAAAATGACGAAACAAAGTAATAGGAAAAATAAAGCAAACGAAAGGAAGCCACCCAACAGAGTCCGTTTATTTTCCGTCATAAATTCCGGATAATTCACGGCGACTCCTCTTCGCGGTCCCCTGCGTTCAGCAGAGATATCAGACACGGGGATACGAGAAAGAAACAGCACGGAATTACGAACCGAAGTACAAAACGAGCGTCATCAGCATTAGAACGGATCCAACATTTGGAGAAACGTCGCGGCCCTTGCAATTAACGGTAATTATTCAGAACGAGCCGCAAGAATCCCGGATTCAATTATCGAGCCACCGGACGCCAGCGGTTCGAATGGGTTCCTGAAACTCCTTGGGAGTCGTTCGACTTAATGTCTAATGCTGAGCTACTTAGAGGCGATCCGAATGGCTGGATCAATACACGGACCGCGGATGCGTGTATTCAAAGGGTGACCAAAAAATATCGGAAACAGTACTGTAAATTATTCGTCAAAGCGAATGGGAGAATAAAATTTACATTCTTGTTGAGAATAATCAAGATTTTCTAAAATAAAAATTATCCCTCCAATTTTGGAGTCATAGATAATAAATTTTATTTTATACAAGGTGTCAGCTATGACGCATAATTTTTCACTCGTTTACAGCCATGTAAACAATTTTTTGAAAATAGTTTGTTTCCACGGCGAAATCGAAATCTTCTTGGGTTTCGTGAATACGGTAATGATTCTCAAAATGAACTGTGATTCGTAAATTGAACATCTCTATCCCCCCCAACTGAGGGACACGTTCATTTGCCTTTCCCTTCTACTCGACATTCATTTCGCGGCAACCAATTACAGTAATTAGATTATTAAAATGAACTCCAGATGTGATTCGTACATTGAACATCTCTATCCCATTCAATTGAGGGACACGTTCGTTTTCCTTCTCCTTGGTATTCCTTTCGCAATAAACAACTACAGTAATGATTATTAAAATGATCTCCAGACGTGATTCGTAAATTGAAAATTTCTATTCCTTCCAACTAAGGAACGCCTTCATTTCCCTTCTACTTCTCCTTGACACTCGTTTCTTGACAAACAACTACAATAATGATTATTAACATGAACTCCAAATGTGATTCGTAAATTGAACATCTCTATCCCTCCCAACTGGGGGACATGTTCATTTGCCTTTTCCTTCTACTCGACATTTGTTTCGCGACAAACAACTACAATAACGATAAGACTACGGATGTTTATGCATTTACAGGAAATTTTAATTCTCAAAAGGCTGTAGAATACACTTAATATGCAAAAATATACGAAATACTTAAAGTAAGGTATGAATTGTTATATTTAGAGGTTGAGACAATCCTCTATAAAGCTCCCATTCCATTAATTTTTATTGATAAAAGTATGAATTTACATAAAGATCCGCAGTCTAGTAATGATTCTTAAAATCAGCCCCAGACGTGATTCGTAAGTTGAACATTTCTATCTTTCCCACGCAATTCGTACTAGCACGAACGAATAGTCCTATTTTTTATTCTACAGTAACGATTCTTAAAATGAACCTCAGACGCGTGATTCGTAAGTTGAACGTGTCTACCCCTCCCAACTTGGAGATATAACAATATAAAAACAGAAACGTACTATCAACTAGAAGGTTGCCCAGCATATAATTTACGAGAATTTGCAATTTATTTTAACGTTACATTTGAAAATTGATTTAAAAAGTGCGAAGTAATTCGAGCATGTTTCGCTATTTGATCCACCCACAGAGTGATTCTATTTTTCACCCAAGCATTGAAAGCAGCGAATTAGTAATCCACTAAACCCGATTTCAGTTTCATACACGAATAATATTTTTATTATGATTTCTCTCGTGTCAAAACGTTGCCCTTATAAGGCGATTCATTTTTACTTTTATTCCGGGTATTTTTTGATCGTTTTCTCCGCTATCCAAGCACTCATCTTTCCCGCTTGGGATCGTTCAAAGTAATCAGGCTGCTTGCTGACCGAGAAACGGAACATCCAGGGATCCGACTTTAGGTATCACGGCTAAAAGGTCCAGTCGTATTCTGAATTGCTGGTTTCAGCCAGACGGCGCGCTCGGGGTTGGCTGTAACGGCTGAGTTTCTTGGCGAACGTTACGTCTGCTCGTGACACGTCCATACCGCGTCCCCACGTGCGCGACACACGGCGCTGAACACACCTGAAGCACTTATCGGAACGTCGTTTTTCGAAAGCAGTTGCGCATCACGTGTGAGAACTTGACTTTACAGACGGTGAATTAATGGACTGGCGTTATTTACTCGTATAGGAAAGCATTCAAACTTGAAACCTTCCGACTAGTGAAATGTTTATTGACAACTATGTTTACAACATGTTTACTGACAACTATGGTGTATTTATTTGTACCAAAGAAATTAAATTAGTCACTTGAAAAAATGTATAATGTAATCATACATGAAATGAATGTTTATTCTCTTATAGAAAACCAGGGTAAATTGTCAAAATTTCAGTGGATTTTTTATAATTCTTGTTAGAAATTACGAATTTTGATCGCTTTGGTTGTTTTAATGTTGAACTGGAACATTTAAAACGATATGGTATACAGGATGGATTGCTTGACATGACAAACTCAACTATTTGCGTAAAAAATGGACGAATTAAAATTTTATTCATGTTGAATCGGAGAAAAAAATTGAGAAGTTACTAGAGAAGGAGACGTAAATACAAATGAAATTTCATGAAGTTGATCCTTTGAAATCGTATTATCCAGAATGAAACAATGTTGAGTTTGACTATTTTTTTAAAAGCTGAAAAATATAAATTTAGAACTTAGAGGTCCACTAATTACTCTTATAAATACACCTTTGTTAATGAAGATACTTTTTCCCTCCCTTTATCAGATTAAAGATTATTCAAGAATTTACAACAACCACAATTTTTAATATATTTGGACGAAAAAAATACTAGGCATACTTATAAGATAAATAAACATACTTAAAAAATATTGATTCAAAATAATCTCTACTTACCATTAAAAAAAAAACAAAACTAATTGGAAAAAATGACAATTCTGACAGCAATAATCCTTTTAAACTCTTTAGTTTAACATAGATATTTATCATTAGACATTTTAGTTGTATATTTTCGTACGTTTGTGCACGTTTCTCTAGAAACTATCTTGGAACGCTACTTATAACAGTGACGGTATCACAAATTAAGGAATTCAGTAAACGTCAGAAATAACTAAATATTTGAATCGTTTAATTCTAGCGCTATAAAAGGTGCCATCGTTAAAAAGTTTTTAGAACACTTCTTAGTTCATATTATTGTTTTTAGCCCATAAAGCAGCAAGCAATAATAGTGACATTAACTACAGACTCTGTTATCGTGCAATTAAACGAAACTTTGAGGAATTCGTAAAATTATGCGCTAAAAGTGAATAAACGTTTAAGCACAAAGTATTTTAACAGTATTTCTCGGTATAGTTAAACGAAAATTTAGTGGAAGTCGTTTGGTTTAACCTTCCCAGCGTACACACACGCGCGAATTTTACGACAAAGTCGGTTTTTTACAATTTTCTTTTATTTTTTATTTTTTTTTTTTTGTTGGAAGAGTTAGGCGATTTATCTTTTATTTTTTCCCCCAGAAAAATGCATCCTCTATAAAAAGTTTAGTTAAATAGTTTTACCGGCGGCTATTATTGTAAACTATCAGAGGGTCTGTATGCAAATTGTACAGCTTCGATGATTATTATTATAGAAAATTAATTTCCATCTTTTGAAAACTCATGTGGAAACATGATAGTAATTTCTGGGAAGAACAATAGAGGATCCCAGTTGAATTCCTAATTCGCGAAGAAAAAGTGGTTGGATTATCTGTATTTGTCTTCTAAAAAAGCTAGATTATAGGTTTTGGGGTCTATTGCAAAAATAAAACTGTGATACTTTAAGTGAAATTAATTGGATGTAAAACATTAAAAATTAAGGAAAGAGATAATAGATACGAACAACATTTTTATAGGCAATATTAATTAGAGAGAAATTTACAAAAAGATATTGATTTTTAAGAGTTTTATAAATATACCAATCTTGAAAAAATGTGCTCTGCTTTTATTATTCTTTTTTCGAAGGTACATCCAATTATTTATGAAACTATCACCTTAACAAATAACATTATCAATTTTATGATTCATTTCATGTATAAAATTTTTAATTTTATTTTTATTGGTGCTGTTTTAAGTTTCAATAATTGCAGCTTTAGGTTCTTCCACATTATCAGATTAACAATTATTAGTAAAAATTCATCGAACTGTAATAAATATTTCTCATGAATTCTCAATGAAATTCAGGTTGGTAGTAAAATTATTTTC